ACGCCTCTTGAGACTTTCACCCCACACCATCATCTGGGGACATTTTTGGTGCGCTTTGCCCTAAGGCACGCCCCGAAAATGCCTTTTAAAACACTACTCATCAACACCCTCACACTATCGCCTAATAAGAACAACATCAAATATACCATTCAATAACCCATAAAATTTAACAGTGTTATAATGTTTATGACATCCATGAAAATAGAGGATAAGAGAATAGAAGAAGCGTTATTATTTTCAATTCTAATATCTGATCGAATTAGACATGCAGCCGATTGAATCATTGCCAATGTTTCCATGATCTGGACCGGGCCTTAACCCTAGTTTGCAAGTGCAAGCATTGTGGAATTCTCCGCCATGTTGTCAGAATTATCACCACCACCAATTTCCGTAACGTGAACGACGACGAGTTATTAGATGACGATGCAACATTTCGATGAATTATTGAAGCAAATGATGAATTTTCTAAAAATAATGGAAATGAAATTGAAGAGAGATTATGAATTTTCTAAAGAAAATGAAAGTGAAATTGAATAGAAAATGAGGGTTACAGGATTTGGTGGAAATTTATGGAGAAGAAGAAAGAGGGTGGGTGGTGAAAGAGATGGTAAAGAGGATTTTCTAACGTTTTTATTTTTCTTTTTAAATTAAATGTTTTTTTTCAATAAAAGTTACACATGTCAATATTTTATTTATCACTTTTCCACGAGACATACCTGTGCCAAGTTGAAGTGTCTATTTGATCATTGAGTAAGTTGGAATGTGAGATAGACATCTGAGACCAACTTTAAGTGTCTCTTTATGTATTTTGCCAAAAAAACTATGTTTTTAAAACCCATATGGATCTTCTCCTTCCGCAGAAAGAACCTTCATTCCCTTCATGACAGAACCTCCAAATAATAGCCACCAACCGCCTCTTCTTTCTCCTCTTAATCTACTTCTTCATCCAAAAACTGTCTTGACATCCCATTCACAGATTTGGATTTTCCAAATGTTGAATGACAAGCTTTTTGAGCAGTCGAAAATCTCAACCTACAGACCTTTCATCTTCTTTTTATATTTTTTGTGAATTAAAATAGATAAAAAGAAAAACTTATAAAAACATTTTAAAAAAATGAACTCATATGTGGAATTATTAGAAAGTAAAAGGATTCATGTTTCTACATTTCCATTAATGAAAGATCTAATATCTTATGGTAAACTCCCTTTGTTGGAAACAAAGTGTAGTAGACCGGAAAAAAAGGCCTGAAGATGGTTTGAATCTAGAAGAAGAAGAAGAATGGAATGGATGAAAATTAAATGTCAGAGAAATGGTTGACATTGGCAGAATTAGTTATAGAGAATGATCTAAAAAATGGCTGAAAATGGTTTGAATCTACAAGAAGAAAGAACTAATTCAACCAACTATTTCTTGAAATATTTTCTTTCTCGAAATTAAAAGCATGATAAAATCCATGTCAACTTAACTGATTCCCAAAAAAAAAAATCTTCAGAAAGAGTCGAAAAACTAGAAGAAAGAGCATAAAAACAAAAGATTAATATAATCATAAAAAAAATTCGCTCATGCTCTCGGCGCATTATAGTTAACATGCACTAACTGCGCTCATCCATGGCGAATTGAAGAGGATGGGGACGTGGACGTGGGCGTGGTAGTCCCAAGAAGAACCCCATAGCTATCTATGGTAGCTCTGTGGGTGCTCGAATCCAAGCTAATGAAAAGGGAAATGATCAATTAGACACACCTTCTCACAAATAGGTGGTGCAGGAAATTGGAATTGCAATGGGCATAACGAGCTCTGAAGCGGGATCATCATCGACAAGCTCCAGTGTTAAGAAGAGGCTAGATCTAAACACTCCTCCAATAGCGACTCAAGTCAACAACCCTATGGAGCACCAGATCCAACATGCAAGTAAGGAAACAAAAATATTTGGCAATGAAACAGTGAATCCTGTGCATGCTGCTAGTGGAACAGTGATTGTGGAGAATACTGAACCTGATGAGGCAATTGTTGTGAAGCCCAAATCGTGGACAACCCTATTTCAGATGAACAGAGAAGTTGTGAATGGTATGCCATTATCTTACATACCCCCACAAATTATTGATGGCCAAATTGTAGTGCAATTAGACAAAGCTGAAATTGATCTAGAAACGGAGAAGTGGAGAAGTGTTGTGATAGCTTATATCATTGGGGAAGTACCAGGTTACAATACTATGAAGTGATACATTGGGATGAATGGGCAAATGTTGTTGAACCCGAGTTATACCTACATGAGGAGGGCTACTACATCATTAAATTTTAAAATGAAGCACACATGAAGGAAATTTATTATTTTGGGCCATATACGATCAACAATAGACCTATTATTTTAAAGCCTTGGACATCGGATTTTGATTTCAATGAGGAGTTTCCTATAGAAATTCCTTTGTGGGTCCAATTCCCTAAGCTGCCTATGAACTGTTGGGGTCATGATTCTTTAAGTAGAATGGCTAGTGCAATTGGGACTCCTATCTATGCAGATGAGTGTACTGCAAAGAAAACTAGGGTGTCCTTTGCGAGGATGTTGATAGAAGTAAACATAAAAAAGAGTTGCCTCTAGAATTAATGGTTATGGATCCTAATGGCAGGCAATTCACATATGACTGGAAACTTGAGTATTGCCAGAAATGTCTGGTGGTGGGGCACAAATGTGGCATAGAGCAACGACCAAACAATCAACAAGAGAAGCAACCTATAAGGAGAAGAGAGCCTAAGAAGGTCACAATGGAATGAAGATGCAAAGGCCCATTGAATGGAGGAGACAATCAGGCTAACCAACCAGGAGACCAAGGTCAGCAACATGCACAATACATTCCCCCTCAGCAGACCAAGGAAGGTTCATAGGGCAGAGGAAATGTGCAGACAAATATTGGTACTCATGAACAGGAGCAGCAAGGAAATTTTCAAACACATATACAGCAACACAAGGACAATTTGGCGACAATAGTAGATAAGGGCAAAGCTGCAGGAATTATGCCTGAACTAAATTTGGTAAATTTCCCAGCACTGTCAGCTATAGCAGTGAAAAATGCCTTCGAGCCATTACAAAGGGGAAGTTGGAATGATAACACCCTACCACCTGATAAGGGTAGGGGTCACATGACTTGCTAATAAAGTGGCTATTCTGGAATATCAGAGGTGTAAATAAGAGAAACAAACAAAAAGAGTTAAAAAATTGTATTAGTAGTCAGAAAATAAAGTTAATAGCTATAGTTGAAACTAGAGTCAAAAAACAAAATGCAAGCAAGGTAATGCTAAAAGTAATCCCAGGGTGGAACTATTTTACAAACTATCAACATGATCCAAATGGAAGAGTGTGGCTTACATGGGATCCTTAATGGTATATTGTTACACTACTGAGAATTGAAGCTCAATTTATACATCGTTTGGTACATGATAGGATGGGTGTGGTGGATTGTGAAGTTACAGCTCTCTATGGATACAATACTCTAGAACAAAGAAAATAATTGTGGGAATCTATAAAGGAGCTAGCAGTAAGAATTACCAAGCCATGGCTCCTATGTGGTGATTTCAATGTTTAGCTGTATTCTAATGATAGACTTATGGGTAATCCTATTAACTATACAGAAATTCTGGATTTTGCTGATTGCATGACTTCACTATCTCTGAATGAATTGTCGTGGACAGGGGAGTATTACACATGGTCAAACAAACAATATGGTGCAGATACGCTATGTAGCAGGCTTGACAGAGCACTTGGTAACTTTGAATCGATGATGCAGTGGGGTCATGTGACTACTGAATATGAGTTGCCATTTATTTAAGATCATACTCCCATAATACTCACCCTACACTCAGCTACAAAACATGGCAAAATACCATTTAGATTCTTTAATGTTTGGGTTGAGCATGATAGTTTTATTGATATTGTGGAAAGGATTTGGGTACAATCATATACTACTTGTAAGATGAAGAATGTTTGGATGAAGCTGAAGGCTCTAAGACCACTGTTAAGAGCTTTAAATAATGAATAGTTCAGAACTATTAACTTGAAGATTGAACGGGCTAGAGTGGAATTAGAAATCATACAGGGAAAGATCAATACAACATGTAATGATTCACTGCTTGAAGAAGAAAGGAGCCTACTACAGAATTTAGAAAAATGATCTCTCATAGAAGAGAGTGTATTGAAGAAGAAGTCAAGAGCAAAATGGATTAGGCTTGGTGATTCAAACACCAAGTATTTTGCAGCTGTCGTGAAGGAAATAAGTCAGAAGAAATAGCTAAATGAAATTATGGCCCTCACAGGTGATAAGCTTACCTACCCTGATAGTATAAAGCAGGATGTCATTGAATTTTATAAGTCACTAATGGGGTCAACAGCTCATTCTCTCTCTGTTATAAACAGACTGGTTATGAGGAATGGACCAGTACTGCCACAACAGCAAAAGATTGCTCTTTGTGCTGAGGTTACTGACAAAGAAATCTATGCTGGACTTTGTGCTATTGATAGTGATAAAGCACCAGGAATAGATGGATATAACGCCTACTTCTTTAAGAATTCATGGGTGGTCATTAAAGGTGAAGTTACTCAAGCTGTCAAAGACTTCTTTATTACTAGAAAATTGTATAAAGCTGGTAACTGCACTACTCTCAATTGATGCCTAAAATACCCAGTCCTAATACAGTCAAAGATTATCGACCAATTGCCAGCTGCACCATGCTGTATAAACTGATATCTAAAGTGCTAGCAGCCAGGATACAATAAGTCATTGCCTCTATCATCTGTGATGCACAGCCTGGCTTCATTCTTGGCAGGAGAATAGCTAATAACATCATACTAGAACATGAGCTAGTAAAGGCATACACAAGGAAAAATATTTCTGACAGATGTATGATCAAGATTGATCTTCAAAAAGCCTATGACTCAGTCGAGTGGAGTTTTTTTTGGAGAAAGTCCTGATAGAGCTAGGATTTCCTATGAGATTTGTAGCATGGATAATGGAGTGTGTTAGCACTGTTAACTATACTGTTATGATAAATGGTGAATCCATCCCACCATTTGATGCAGCTAAAGGTTTGAGGCAGGGAGATCCTATCTCCTCCTTCTTATTTGCCATAGTTATGGAGTATCTCAGTAGAAGTCTCAACAGTCTCAAAGAAGTGAAAAGTTTCAGATTTCATCCAAGATGTGCAAATCTAGGAATCACACACCTTAGTTATGCAGATGACCTCCTGTTATTTGCTAGAGGTTACCTTCCCTCAATCTCTGCTATTTATAGATGCTTTAGTCAATTTTCCCAAGTATCCAGACTGCAAGCAAATCTGAGGAAAAGCTCAGTGTATTTTGGTGGAGTCCCCAGACTGTAAGAAGGAATATCCTACAACAGCTAGGTTTCACATTGGGGGAACTGCCTTTCAAATATCTTGGTATCCCACTTGCTAACAAGAAGCTTTCATTGATACAATGGCATCCTTTGGTAGAGAAGATAATTGCAAAGATTTCTTCTTGGATAGCAAAGAAGTTATCATATACTGGTCGAGTACAACTTGTTCAAACTGTGCTATTTGGTATTCAATCTTATTGGTCGCAGCTGTTTACTCTGCCTTCAAAGGTTTTGAAGATGATTGACTCATACAGTAGAAGCTACATCTGGTCTGGGATAAATGTGATCACAAAAAAGCCTTTGGTAGCCTGGGATAAAATGTGTACACCTAAATCAAGTGGGGCCTAAACTTGATTAATTTGCATCTATGGAACAAGGATGCTCTAGCTAAAGTATGCTGGGATGTAGCACACAAGCAAGATCGACTATGGATAAGATGGATACATATTTTCTACATCAAAGACAAACTCTTTGAAGAGGTGGCAATTTCCCAACAAGCAAGCTTGATGGTGAGACAGATCTTAAATGCTAGAACAACTCTTCAACAAGTGCATCATCAATAACATCAAAGAAAGAGTATGATCGGCAGTTTCTACTTGCAGCTGTTGGGAGACAGACCAAGAGTTAACTCGAAATGCTTGATGTTCCAAAACAATGACATGCCAAATACTATATTTACCATATGGCTGCAACTACATGGAATATTGTTGACTGCAGATAGGCTGATACAATGGGAACTAGCTGTAGATCCAAAGTGCTCCTTATGCTAAGCTCATGATGAGAACAAGGAACGCTTATTTGTCAACTGTCGATTTACTAAGAAATTGTGGCAGAGAATCCTACATTGGATGCAAAGGCAGGATGTTACTAGGGTTAACTGGGAACAACATATGCAATGGATTATACAATGTGCTAAGGGTAGGACACAACGGACACAAGTCTTTAGGATGGTATATGCTGAGATAACTCACTTCATTTGGATTAAAAGGAACCTGCGGCTGTTTGAAAAGAGAAGCAGAGGAGTTGATAGTATTGCACGAGAGTTAGCCTACATATATAACGTGAGATTCACCACTGGGATTAGTAGCATGATGCAACATTTTATGTTTAATATAGACAGTTAGTGCAGGCGTTAGAATTTGTAAGAGTTATAGCTGCTGAGTTATAAGCAGGCTATGGATATGTAAAGTTTACTGGTGATTAATACAAAATTGTTAGTTACCAAAAAAAGAGCATAAAAATGAAAAACGAATAAAAGGGGAAAAAGGCAAAGACAAAGACAAAAGAAATTAGCCATTTGAAGGCATTTTGACGTGCTGAAAGGGGGTGATACATACTCTCGGTGACATGTCAGCACATAGTGCTTAATTGGAATAGTTTACACAAAGTTCAAGTGTTCGATAGGTCATGTGTCTAGTTGCGGTGTCTAAATAAATATTTCGGTCATGTTTAAAGGGCCGTATATATATATATTCAGCCTAAAACAATGTACAAAAACTTGTGTAACTTCTAAATGATGGGTTTGGTAGATTAGTAGATTATATGATAAGAAGATGAAAGAAGAGGAAGGGTATGGAAAAAACCAGAGAGGAAAACCGGGGGAGAGGTTATGAGGAAGAAGAAGAGAAGTAGGGAGTAGGGTTCTGGGGACCATTAATTAAAAAGAATTTATAACATTTTTGCATCTCGCACTTAACCAAGGATTAGGAAAAATTAAATGGTTCATGCTCTTATCTTTTTGGTTACACACATTGTCACGACCCGGAATTTCCAACCTCGGGACTGTGATGGCGTCTAACATCCACTTGCTAGGCAAGCCGACGTTAATAAAGAAATTAACCAATTTTTAACAGTTAAACAAAGTAATGACATTAAAGGAGAAATAAACTCCAAATTTAACATTTTTGAGCATAAGCAACGTGATACTAACTACTTCCAAAAATCCGAAGTTACAAGTACATGAGCAACTAGAAGTCTACAAGCATAGTTTGAAATAATACAACTGTTCGAAAGAGATGGTAGGAAATGGAAGGGGACTTCAAGGTCTGCGAACGCCAGCAAATCTACCTCGAGTCTCCGAAGTGAAAGCGATCCGAACCGACGGCCCTCTAAGCACCGCCGTGACCAATACCCTTATCTGCACAAGAAGTGCAGAAGTGTAGTATGAGTACAACCGACCCAATGTACTCCATAAGTGTTGAGCCTAGACGAGGAAGTGGCAAGGCTATGACAAGACACCAACGTAAAAACCCTGTGCAACTATATATAAAGAAGTAAAAATAACAAGGAGAACGATAAAATATTAACTGGGAGGGGACATGCGAAAGGGGAGATATCATAGAAACTACAAGTACGAAATCGCCAAAACTGAAAACCAAACAAGGTAATAAAATGAAGATGAATGGCACGGCATCACCCTTCGTGCTTTACTCACCGGCACGGCATCACCCTTTGTTCTTTTACTCTTAAATATCTATACATATGATAAATAATGCAAATAAGGCACGGCAATTCCTCCGTGCTTTACTCTTTTCCTCACCAAGAAACAATACAAACCCGAATAATTAAAGCAAGACGGGAAACGATTTCACTTCAATTGTGGTGCCATGATATCAAACTCAACTTTCAAAATATTCCACATCTTTGAAATAAGAAATAAATACAAAACGGATAATTAAAATAAGTAATAATCTAACCTTAACATGGAAAACATAATCAATGAAACAATATAATACAAAGAAACAACTTTCACTCGAATTCTTTAACCAAATGACAACGTATAGATACTCGTCACCTCACGTGTACGTTGTCCCCACACATAGAAACACGTAGCAAATAGACTAATAAGTCCTAATCCCTCAAGTAAAGATTAACCACAACACTTACCTCACTCTGCAACCAAATCATTGCTAACCCGCAACCTTTCATCTAGAATTAGCTTCCAAACCAATCAAATCTAGTGAAATATAGTTCAAATAATTCAAAATATGCTTCAGAAACTACCCATTAAGGAAAGATGTTCAATTTTGATCATATTTTAAAAAGTCAACAAAAATCAACCCCAGGCTTGCTTGGTCAAAACCCACGGTTTGGACCAAAATCCGATTACACGTTCACCCCTGAGTCCGGTTATATAATTTATTTCATTATCCGGCCTTAATTTGAGCTTTAAATCTCAATTTTACAAAAATCTCCAAATTCTACCCAAACCCCTAAATTCTACCATGGAAATTATAAATTTGATATTGAAATCTCATGAAAAGTAATGGGGAATTGAAAAAACATTTGGAATAAAGTTACCTATCAATGAATTTGAGAAGAAAAACCTCTTGGAAAATTGCATCTAGAGTGTTTAGGGTTGAGAAATGGTATAAAGTGAGCTAAGTCTCGTTTCCCCCCTCTTTTACCCAGCTGCAGATGTCGCAATTGCAATGTCTTGTTCGCAAATGCAACCGTCACAAACGCGAGTCCTGCCTCAGAAGCCTAGAAGTCGCAATGCAACAAAATGATCGCAAATGGGAATATCCCACCTTCGCATTTGCGGCCACAATCTTCACAATTGGGAAGATACTTCACTGTTGCCAGGCATCGCAAATGCGACCAAATGATAAAGCGATCCTGCGCTGTTTGCAATTGCGAACCATTTTCTCGCAAATGCGAGGTTACCCAATCCCATACCCTGCTCGCAAATGCGAATATTTGTCCACAAAAGTGAGGCTCAAATGCGAAATCTGCATCATACACCAGAGTTGGGCATTGCACCAGCAATCTTTGCACTATCAAAACTCGTTTGAAACATGTCCGAAACTTACCCGAGCCTCTCGGGCTCCAAACCAAATATATACACAAGTGTAATAACATCATACGAACTCGCTCACACAATCAAAACACCAAAATAAAATCTAGAACTATGAATCAGACATCAAAATGTATGAAAATTTCAAAGAAACTCAAGAACTTCCAAATTCACAACCGTGCGTCCGAATCCTATCAAATCAACTTTGTTTTGCACCAAAATTTGCATACAAGTTTTAAATAGTAAAATGGACCTATTCCAAGTCGCGAAACCAAAATTCGAACTCGGTAGCCATAAATTCAACCTACAGTCAAACCCATAAAATCTTTTAATTTTCAAATTACTAGTTTTCAACCAATTAAATTAGGGACTTCTAAATTCAATTCCGAACATATGCCTAAGTCCAAAATTACGATGCAGACCCACCGGGATCGTTAAAATACTTATCTGGGGTCGTTTACATAAAATATTGATCGTAGTAAATTCAAATCATTTTTAAAGCTAAAAATCATGTTTTCTTCACTTTTTCACATAAAATCTTTCCGGAAAAAGACACGCGCTGTGTAGGCAAATTGAGAAACACTAAACGAATTTTCTTGAGGTCTCAGAACACAGAAATAAGGGTTAGAACTCAAAACGACCTATCGGGTTGTCACATTCTCCACCTCTAAAAGAAACGTTTGTCCGCGAACGGATATAGAAAAATACTTGGACTGGCGAACGGTGGGGTATCTACTCCGTTTATCGGACTCGGACTCCCACATAGTTGCCTCGATCGGCTTACCTATCCATTGTACTATAACATAAGGATAACTTTTAGACCTCAACTTTCGGACCTGTCGTGCTAGAATAGCCACTAGATCCTCCTTATAAGTTAAATCATTGTCTAATTGGACTGAGTAGAAATCTAATATATGGGATGGATTACCGTAATACTTTCGGTGTATAGAAACATAGAACACCGGGTGAACTGCTGATAAGATAGGTGTCAATGCAAGCTTGTAGGCCACCTCACCAATTCTCTCAAGGATCTCAAAGGGTCCGATATACCTAGGGCTTAACTTGCCCTTCTTACCGAACCTCATCACACCCTTCATGGGTGAAATCCGGAGCAAAACCCTATCTCCTACCATGAATGCAACATCACGAACTCTCTAATCGGCATAACTCTTCTGTCTAGACGGTGTTGTGAGAAGCCGATCCTAAATCGTTTTGACCTTTTACAAGGCATCCTGAACCAAATTAATACCCAACAATCGAGTGTCATTACCCAAAACCACGTGACCGGCACCCGGCACACTACCCGATCCGAACGAACCAAACCATGTGATGCACCCAAATTATATTCATGAAAACCAATTTAACCGCAAAAGCTCCTTAAAAATCATATACATTTTCAAGTTAAATGATAAAATATTTTTTAATTTAAAAATATCACATCACGCCTTCCGTATGCCATGTGTCCTACCTCATCCTAAAATATATAAAATAAGCAGGGCCCTGGAGGGGGGGGCCTAAGGACTGAATACACCACATCGGTACTCAATAAGTG